AGACAAAAAGGAAAAAAAAAAAAAAAAAAAAAAAACTTAGCCCCCACTGTGACTGTTAAGAGGGTGGGAAATCCTATTACAGTAATTGAAAGGTGGAGCCTTGAAGAAATGATTGGATTGTAGGACCGTGTACTAGTGAATGGATTAAAAAAGATGGTCAGGGGTGTGGTTCTGAAGGTGTTAAAAGAAGAGTGTCTCCCTCTTGCTCGCTCTCTCTCTCTCTGCTTCCACCATCTTGCAATGTGAGACCCCCGTGTCACTGTCACCACCACCAGATGGGCTTTGGACTTCCCAGCCTCAGAAACTGCAAGCAATAAATTTCATTTGCTTATAAATTACCCAGTTCCATGTATTTTGTTATAAGCAATAAAAACAGACTAATACTCTATGTATTAACAATAATTAAAATTAAAAGCACAATTTCTTTCAATTACATGGCAGACGATTATTAATTAAGAAGATGAGCATCAAATAGTGTGAACTGAGCCTTAGTTTCAAGATCTCTTTCAGAAAAGTTTATAGTGTGAACTGAGCCTTAGTTTCAAGCTCTCTTTCAGAAAAGTTCGCTGTGATGCTTAAAAACTTCTTTAAGAATTGAAGTTTAATATATAATATATAGAAGACAAACTTGGATACCAAATAGTTACAAACATTTTTGAAAATCACTGTAAACATACTAAGATTAGCACAGCAAATTTATATAGTACAACTTTCATTTTGTTTCTTTTTAGTACACTAATTTTCATTACCATATTTAGGAACTGGTAGTACTTTCTTTTACATCTCATCTTTTTTTAATCTCCTTTACCGCACTTCTTAATTTTAAAAACTCTTAAAGATACAGCAAGATGATGTCATAACCACCAGTTCATCAAATATTTTTCTTTCAAAGTAGCCTGGATGAGGGTCAAGAAGTAACTTTCTTCCAGTATTGAAAATCTAGGTTACTGTTCACTTCTCCTTGGCTCTGGGTGGCACTATGTGGTAGGTGAGTGGGTCTGGAGTCACAAAGACCTGGGTTTGAATGTTGGCTCTTCACAGCAAAATGATCCTGAAAAACTTACTTACACTCTTTAAATCTCATTTTCCTTAACAGTACAAAAGAAATGATAAATCTACCTTGCAGGATTATTATGAGGGTTGAATTAAATTGCATATGTAACAAACCTTACACTGAGTACATGCTCAATAAAGAGGAAATATTATTATTAAAGTAATTAAGGATCTACATAAATGGTCGCTGTTCTTACAACCTGCTCAGGTGGGAGAAAAGTATATTAAAGAAAATTAGGCCTTTCTGGGGCCTGTTACCTATGGGGGTGGTGAGACTATGGTATTTTCTTCTGTCATAATGGGAATCTTTCAAAGGGGTTTTCTTATTTTTCATGGCAATCAATTTCTCCTGAGATGGTTACCCTCCATATATTCTCACTTTTTCCCTTGCTAGAAAGAAAAATAAGTTAAATCTGAACATATTAACTTGCCAAATATTCCTGAAGAAACTGGCAACTCTCCCCATGCAATGGCCAGAATTTAAATATTTTTTCTGAGAAAACAGATTTCCTTCAAATTAAGAATATTATTTACTTACTTTTGCCAAGTAGAGAAATGTATCTACCATTTCCTGCTGCTTCAGAGCTGATTTAAACTGTTTTTCTGCTTCACGATACATTCCTAACCTAAGAACAGCCATTAAAAAAATTAGGCATTCACCTTAAAAATAAATCCTACATCATTTTTTCATACCCTGAGGATATGAATAGAGACAAATTACATCTGTAAAAGTAGGCATGCACCAGAGAAGGTAATGTTGTACGCACACATATATTAATATGTCTGTTGATACATTTTAACAAAAAGTTGCCTATCTCCCACATTCACTGGCTATCTAACTCCCAAATGGGCTGTAAACAATCTGTCTGAAGCCTAGTCACAGCAGGACTAATAGCTGCCAGTAAGCCAGGTCACATCAGTTCACCACCCAAAGAGCTTACGATCAGCTGGACATAAGGCAAGTGACCTGAATAAATGCTTAGAGTCTCCATTTTACTGGAAGAACTAAAGAATGACATTTCTTTGAAAACATCTTCTGCTTTGAGACAAAAGCCCATTTATAAATCTATCCTTAAGCTATTTCGATGTAAGTAATAATTGCCACTTATGTAATACAGTTATACCATTTTATTATTCTATAAATCTTTTTTCTTTTCCTTTATTAGGTGTCTGATACTGATTGTCCTAGTCTGTGAATCTGAGATTTGCTCCTTGCCTAAATATGACTATCCTGATGTCAGTGCCCATCTTTTCTGTCCAGGAAACATTTTGTTCCCACTAAATTAATCATTAAAGCACACACGGTTTTCATTCGGCCTGTCCTTAATAGACCTGTTAGGCTTTCCAATAACCACTCAACCTAGCAATCTAAGATCAACGCAGATATGGTAACGTTTTGTTTTGGAAGGTAAAATCAGAATGATAGACAGTATGTTCCATTGTGCTACTTTCATTTAAATGCTTGAAAGAATAGCTTTGATCGTTTTTCGTAACATAAACCTCAAGTATTAGTGCTGATAACCAAATAGCTTTTGGAAGATTTGGGATCACACAGTTTAAAGGTGACCCCAAAAGACTGGCCTAATGTTGGAGGATATATAATGTGGCAGAAGCTCCTACCTCTTCAAAGGTCCCACAAATTTCATCTGGAGTATTTCTAAAATGTTACCAAAGAGCTCTAAAGTTCTGAGAAACAACATATGTATGTATGAATGTATATAACGCCAACTGAGCATGTAAGTCTTACACATGTGACTTAGGCACAGTCACTGAATCCCATGAATGCTAATTACCTATGAGAGGTTGTATGTATGTATATAACACCAACTGAGCACGTAAGTCTTACACATGTGACTTAGGCACAGTCACTGAATCCCGGTGAATGCTAATTACCCATGAGAGACTGTATATTTTTATCTAATAACTAGCCTCTTTCAAAAGTGATTTAAAAGGATCACAATAAAAAGACATATATAAAGCAAGAATATGAAAATGGAAATAGATTTTTTAAAACCATGACAGGATAAACAAATTTAAAAACAAACAAAAAAGCAATCAGATTTACTGAAAATGGAAATAGATTTTTTTAAAACCATGACAGGATAAACAAATTTAAAAACAAACAAAAAAGCAATCAGATTTACTGAAAATGGAAATAGATTTTTTTAAAACCATGACAGGATAAACAAATTTAAAAACAAACAAAAAAGCAATCAGATTTACTGAAAATGGAAATAGATTTTTTTAAAACCATGACAGGATAAACAAATTTAAAAACAAACAAAAAAGCAATCAGATTTACTGAAAATGGAAATAGATTTTTTTAAAACCATGACAGGATAAACAAATTTAAAAACAAACAAAAAAGCAATCAGATTTACTGAAAATGGAAATAGATTTTTTTAAAACCATGACAGGATAAACAAATTTAAAAACAAACAAAAAAGCAATCAGATTTACTGAACTACCCAGAAGACAAAGAAAGGAAACACGAATCATATGTTTTGTATTACTGCATCCTCAAGAAATAACTTCTTTTAGTACTATCAAAAAGGAATTTACCACATGGATTCTTGTGCAAAGAAAAAGAAGTGGGCATGTTCAAAGAAAATCCAGGAATAACGAAAACATCAGTCAAGTTCATAAACACAAGCTAATATCAGAGTCAAGAGTCCAGAGATAGTCCCCACCAGCTGCCAACTTTTTCTCTCCAATTTAATTCAACAAAATTGTCAAGCATCAACTGCATGCACATTTCACGATGGTAAGGAGATGCAAAAATGAAGAAGATAACAACAATGTCCTTAAAAGAATGATTATCAAAGAGTAAAACAAAATGTGTTCACAAATACATTTAATTTTATTATAGCCAATGAGAAAAAGTGCTTTGAGACCACATAGGAGGGAGCAAACCAAGATAGTTTCAGGGAGGAAGTGACAGGCAAGATTTCAACAGCTAGATATGGTAGGGGAAGGGGGAGATATTTCAAGATGGAAGGAAACTCTGAGCATAACCACACAGGCAGGAAAGCTCACAGCATGTTAGGGGAATGCTGAGGAGTTTGGTCTAATTGAAAAGGACTTAATAATGGGAGTGCTGAGAGATCATGGACGCCACACTGAAAATCCAGATTTCATTCTAAAGGTAATGGAGATTCACCAAAGAATCCAACAAGAGCTGTTTTTTCACAACAGTTACTCTGACTATTTCATATAAGAAGGATTTACGTACGGGGCAATTCAAACAAATGATACTAGTAGCCAGAATTAGGGCATTGGACTGGGGATGGGTAGTCAGAGAGCAACTTTGAGAGCTATTGTAGAGGTAGAACCAGTAAAAACTTAATGATCAGGAGCAAAGGGACAGAAGTCAATTTCAGACTACATCCTCTGGCAATTCATCCCTGACCTCTGCAGTTGAAGTGAAGAGCTCTCTCTCTGGGCTCCCACTGTGCCCTGCGCTTGCTTCTGTCACTTAATGGAAAGCACGCTTATAATTACTTACTGTTCTCTCTCCCCCATTCTATTGTAAACCTTGTGAAAGAAGGGATGATCTAATAAATCTTTGTAACTCCAGTGCCTGGCAGAGTAGTTGCTAATTAAATATTTTACTGAGTGAATGAATGAATGTATGAATGAAAAGGGATTAACGAACAGAAAAGAATGAAGATGAACAGGTATTAGAGAACAGAGAAGAATGACAATTCAATATGACAAGGTGCATTCATTTAAATGCTTTCATATATGGATGGCAGAAGGAATCAGAGTTGTGCTTTCCTTTAATTATTAAAGATTTCTGAAGGTTTTACTTGTAAGCTCAAGATTGTCTTCCGGAATTATATTCATAAGAGTTTAATGTTATAATGGTCTAAAATTACCTTTTAGCAGAAAACACTTCCTCAATCTAGCAGCAGAAAAAAAACACTTCAGAGTTCTATGTGAAATATCTAAATGGAAAGCAGTCTTAATTTCAACAACAAGCACGCTTTTCATTCCATTTCCATTCTTCCTTTTCCTCGCAGTGTTTGAGTGACAACTAAAGTTTATAAATATCATAAACTAGTGCTCGAAGTAACCAAAGTCTATTTTGTTTCCGAGTAATAAAAGACCTATTACCTTTTAACATAAAATTGTTCATCCGTCTCTATTTTTCCCAATGCTCTAAATGCATTTCAGTATCAGCAACAAGTTTCAGATCTTATTTACTGTGGCTATATAGATATTCATAAAATTAAAACTTTTCTGAACTCTCAGTTAATTTGCTTTAAAATGTGTTTAAACATGAAGTGAATGTAAGAATATTCAGGTCCTAAAGAAACAATATGGAATTGTGGAAATAGTGAGATAACTGGTGTCAGAAAGCTGTGCTCAAACTCTTGCTCTGCCACTTACCAGCTATATGACTTTGGACAAGCCACTTTATCTTTGGAGGCTCAATTTTCCTCTTCTGGGAAAAGGACAAACAATAGCAACTACCTCTGAGGTGCTGTGAGATGATGTAGCATATGAACAAACTCTCTTCTAACTGTAAAGAGCTTATATGAGGCATCGGTGTAAATAAAAAAGACCTGACAGCCAAGAGGACTAGGAATCAACAGACTTGGTTCTGGACCCAAGTGTATTACTAACTAGCTCCTGATGCAAATCACAGCCACTCTCTGGCCTCAGTTTTCTCAGCTGAAAAGGGAAGTCTCAAGGCTTCCCTCTCCCAGCTCTAAACCTTTGTCAGTCTAAAGGTATCAGTTCTTATTGCTACCATGTAATTACTAAGTAAATGCTTTCTCAGGTAAGCTAAAGACACAGTTCTCATTTCTTCATGAGGAAATCAAAAAAACAAAACAAAACAAGGTACCAGATTTGAGACTCTAGAATATATCACCACTTCTAAGCCCTTCAGAAATAATCCAAATTTTACCTGTAGTAACATTTTCCAATCTGCACTTTCCACCACCAGTCCTTGTACTGAGAATGCTCTGTGGAAAGGGCAGCCAGATCCAAAGCCTTTGAAAACAATTCATTTTAGATTAGAATTTTCTTTTCTAACGATAAGCAGACAAACAAATAATGAAAGAAAGCATATAATTAGCATCAATCAAAACATGCATTAAAAATTAGACCAAAATTCAAGTTGCTCATGTTTCCAGATGGCCCCACCAATTTTCCCTGAATAATCAGTTCCAGACCAGAGGACTAACAGCAGATGAGACGGAAACACTGATCAAAGGTAAGCAGATGTACAATATATTTGAATACAATTTTAATATACAAGGCACAAAATTGCTATTAAAAACCACATGTTTTTACCCTCTCCCTACCATTTATCTACTGTCTAATGGTTCAAAATACCCCCAAACTCAGCGGCAGTCAAGCCCTTGATGTGTAAACCAGGTCCAACTGCAGTCCTCACTTTATAAAGACAGCTATAGAGAAATAGAGAAAGATCAAGTAAGCAGATAGAAAACAAAGTTTGGAAAAATGGGATCATGAAGAAGAGTGAAAGGAGTTGGGGTATCTGTACAACTGCTATCTTCAACAACCATCGCTGCATTATTCTGACATCACCTTATGCTCTGGTAATTGTAAGGGTCAGACTTCCCTTTGCTGCAGACTGCAAAAGATCTTCTCCTTAAATGCTTTCATATTTTTTATCTGTTTATCCCATATCTTCTAGTTTGTTCCTTCTAGTGTTTATTCAAGATCAAACAAAAGATGACTAAATCGGAATTAGGATTTTATACAAAGGAAGTTGAAACCGTTTTGACAAGAGGAAAGCAAATCAGTCTTGATACAAATTTGAAGCTTGTAGAAATTTGAAGCTCATATAAAGATTTGGTGAATAGAAGCTGGAGTTATTAGTTAAACAGAGTTCTGATTTTTTATATTACTTATTATTCCTTTTCTCAAGATTGAAAAAATCTTATTCCTTAGCCAGTGTTAATATAATCATGACATCCAACAGCTCAGTTAAAGTTACTCTTAGATTTTCACTTTTATTATCTCAAAATGCATCTCATATTACTGTCCATTTCTTAATATTAGCCCTTTTTTGAAATGAATGCTAGAAGAGTTCCTTGAGTCTCCTACTGCTAAATTAATTACTTTTCCTTGTGTTCCCCATCTTCTCTTGCTCCAGGGGAGACCTCTAAATATGCAAACTACTTATAAAGGAATGGTGTCACCATGCTGAGCCACTAATGGACTTGAAAAATCAACATCTCTACTTGAAAGCCATGGAAATCAAAAA